TTATGGAAATCAGAGCACACCTTTTAAAAAGGCTATTGCCTTTGCTCTTAAGGAATACATCAAGCAATATAAACGTCCGGTCCCGCTATTCATGAGCAATTCAGCGACACAAGACACAAATTAAGCAATATGCTAAGACTGCTTACATTGAATGAACAAATACACGTGTCAAAGAAAGAACTATAAGGCACTATGAGTATAATCGGTGTATTTATGTATTTATAGAAATAGTATCTGCCTAGTAATAATAGAGGGTAGGTTATGACCCAGGCATGGAGACGCGTACACACAAATATATAAGCATATAAACATACTAAATACCTTGCATTTCAGGTAATTTTAATGAATCTTGAATTTTGGACAATTCGTCTAAAAATTAGTTTTGAGAAAGAATGATGACTTCTGCACTCAATTTCTCTCTCCCCATTCATGTTGAAAAATACCCCTGGCCTCACTCGCCAAGACGTCGTCATCCCTACTCAAGGCATCATTTGTTTAAAGTAAGAGTGTAATCCAAAAGAATGAGTTGGAATATGACAGAGAAGAACTCTTCGATTCAGCGATGAAGCGGCAAATGCACTGCAGTAACAACCAGGGAGAAGATAATGCCTGCCATTCCTCTTATTATTAGTTTGAAGGTGAAGAAGATGACTGCATGAACACCGGCGCTGTGAAAAGTCCAGCCAGCCACTCAGAGATCAGGCTAGCCAGTTTGCCTTCCAGTTGCTTCACAATGCCGTATCTCGTAATAAAGGAAATGAATCTAGCTACTCGAGTTGTCAAGCGGCGTACCCACACAGAGTTCGAGCCCTCGGGTGCCGTTTCGACAGTGATACCGGACCACTTGGTAATGTGCAATTGTTTGAGGCCCACAAATGGAGTCAGGGAACCAGACCTCCAAGAATGAGCAGATGGAGTGGGCAATAGGTTTAAGTCGAATTTGATGGTCATTGGGTTCATAACAACGGTAAAGTTCTAAATTATTAATAATACATAATTTAATGGTTAAGTATTTTTAGCCTTGTTCGCGGAACTAGTAATAGTATTAAGAAACGTAAAAGGAATTGATTACATGGGTAAATTTTGGAAAGTAAGAATGAATAGGTAACAAATATCAACTAATTGGCACTTAAAGTAAATGGACTGATGTTAAAAGTGAAAGCAAGGCAATTATGAAGGCGGAGGAAGTATAAAAGAGGTGAGAAATAATCTTCCTTACTGGAATAAATATTTTAATACAAACAGGAAGAAAAGGCAATCCGAGCTCTTTCAAGCTGTAGAGAAAGAAAAACATCAATCCTTAATCACAGAAGAAAGAATCCTTGAACAAAGCTCCTCGTTTTCACCCCTGCTACTGGCCCTTATTTATCGTTTACTGATCACTTCCATAACGCAGAGCAATCTAGTAAGTCCTTTTCTTAACGAAGATTCATAAACTAAATTGCCTCAACAAAAGCTGTGAAAATACCCATAACGGATAAGAATACTCCAGCCGCTATTGTGAAAAAATGTGTGCTAGCACAAATATGGTGCATGATACATGCAATTATATAAATAAATATATATATATATACTGGTTAAATAAAAATAGGAAATTTGTTGAAACCATTAGTATCATGTAAAATCATGGGGAAAAAATAGTCTCATTTGTGATCCATACTCCATGAGCTATCACAAAGGTGCTCCTAATACTTCACTGAAGGCGGCTTTTGAAACTGCAGTCCAGCAGAAAGTATAAGAGCCCTTTGGGAGGCATGGCCACGACTGAGAAAGCATAGCAAAACTAGCCAGTACAATTCTATAGCATTGTTTAGGTACGTAAATATAACACCTTCCCTTAGATCAAGTATAGCAATCCTGATAAGGTCCTGCAAATGAAAAGTGGCTTAATACCAGCTCAATTGGTCCAGATGACCCTTTTCACTAAAAGAATAGACATATGCTTCGACTTTTATTTATATAAGCGGTCAGGCTGTTCCTTTCCTATTATGTTATACATTCTCGGTTCGTATTGCAATGTAATATAATTAACAGCATACAATTAATGATAGGTATGATATCAAGTAAGACAAAATATATTATGAAGGTTGTAAAGACGGGCTGGACACTTACGCCGATAATATGGAATGGAATCCAAGACTCGAGGGTCAAGTTTACCCGCATCCATTTAATGCTGATGCATGATGAAAGATGTATATCCTCATCTTCCTCTCCTTCCTTCGCTTTCTTCTGCCCTGAAGCTATAAGCCTCAGATCTTCGGTCGGATCCTTATTCACTTTAGAGGTCGCCCGACCAGTTAACCACTGCATGAACCCACCGGTGCCCTTTTTCTCCAGTTTGGTATCAGCAAATATTCCAGCTTCGCCATTGCTGTGGCTATAAGCATGTTTTACTTTCGGGGTTTTGTCTAAGACCGTAGCAGATTTTTTTTTCACACTTAGCGGCGTCCGAGGGGACGTGGTTAGTTGAAGTGGGCAGGAAAAATGTATAGTATCGAAGCCAGCCACAAATATACGGGACACTCGCAAGAAGTTTGTCAGCGCTATTGGACCAGGAAGTTCAAGGCGTGACTTGACGGTGAATAGACGTGAAAGGAAGGAAGAAGCTAAGTGGGTAAGGATTCTGGAGCCAGAGCTCGGAACATCTGGCTCAGGCTGGGTCAAATCTAAGGACTTGTCTAGCAAAGTAAGATGGAAAGAGACATAATCAGATGGGATTTGGTTAAGCAGGTTTGAAAGATGAAATGGAAACAGTGTGCGTGAAGGAGTATAAAGTATAATGTGGTTGAAAATAGGAATGCGAGGAAACTGCATCGTTGGAGATGCGAATGAGGATGCGGGTTGATCAATTGGACTCTCCGAATTAGGTCGTAAAGCACATGAATAGAATCAGTCCTAGATCTATGTAATTACGAGCAAAATCAGGCGGAAACAAGCTGAGACTGATTCGGGCTTATGTTCAGCAAAAAAGCCAGAGAATAGGGTCTTAAAAAGTGTTCTTGAATGTGAATTGAGTTCCTCCGAGCAAGAGGCCTGTCATCTGCAATGAGATGGATAGTTAATTCTAGTTTCATCGCATTCCCCAGAAATGTATCCTACAAAAGCTGCCCAGATCGATTAGGTCTTAGGATCAGCGTGAAAGCATAAAACACCTGAATGCAATCTAACTGATTTATAGCCAGAGGAGGCATAAGATAGGAGCAATGCAAAGAAAAGTTTTCGAATCAACCAACTCTACCAAGACCTACTAGCAGTGCCAACTTCCAGAGTAATCAGATGCGCATATTAAAAATGAGAGAATCATTTCGACCTATTAGAAGCTTTTGATGATAGAAAATTCACGCTCTAAATTAGCATGTTAGGAAGATATCAAGAGAAGATACGGCAAAGAAAGGTCTAACAAGAACTATAGTCACACTAGGTCGCCTAAGATGATGAATTACGACACAGAGTTGAATTTTCCCACAATTATATTCTGTGGAATTTCAACTAGTCTTGCTTTCCTAAGGGTAATCTCATCCAACATGGGCTGCCGTTTAAATTTCGTTTAGGTCGTATCTAATGGTATTCAAGACCGGGTCGTGTGTTTACAGTATAGACATTATATCGTTTCATGAGGTGTATTCACCCTATTTCGTTTAAGGTGATGAAGGACTGGTAATTGAAGTTTCCCCCAATGCTATGAGTAAATCTGACGTTCCCATTGAATTTGGCACAGTCTTGTTTGCCTCAAAGGTGTTCTTATCAAGGATGGAATGCAGGTTCAACCTTGGTTGGGTCCTATCAGAGTCGATGTTATAGCTCCATTGCTTCATCGACAATCCTACCAGGGAATGTGACATTAAAAATTCCTCGCCTACCTTGAAATAAGGGTCTGCCCCGTGATTCAAGGGAATTCGTGTCAATGTGGTGTAGTGGTTAACGCGTCAAGAGTATACACTGCATTGTCACGGTTCGAGTCTCGCGAGACCTAGATAAGGCCGAAACTGCAGTCCACCCTGGATGAAAACACCTTTTGTGAATGTAAGGCCGTATGAAATGCAATGGTAGCATCAGCTCTACTCATATAATTGTTGGGCAATTACAGTACCAGTCCTTCATCACCTTAAATGAAATATGGCATCACTGAAGCCTATGAGGAAAATGGTCAGGTGCATTTTAAATCATTACAAACTGGCAGGCGAAAACCAGAGTTTCATTTGTTCCGGAGAGATCTCATCAGCCATTCTCGCAGGCATGTCCAGACAGGAACACCTTTAGGTATTCGGTATGCTTTTAGTGTAGTACGATAAGGTTGTAGTCATTGAACCTCACTTTCATTCGAAATAAAGGTCTCCCTAACAATGTTATCTAAGAAGATTAATCGACACCAACTTTCTTATCGTATCTACAAAGTGAAAGAAGCCAGCAAGTGAGCTAACAAGACGATGGGAAAAGATAAAGCATGACAAAGAGGTACATTCAAGCATCTTAAAGGAAGAGTGGAAGAAATAGAGCTAAATGCAAAAAATCGGACGCAACAAGCTGTAGCCTACCTGGTATTAGCAGAACTGATAAAACCACGATGAAACAAATACATATCAATGTTAAACCGACGGGAAAGCCAAGGCCTAAGCCCTCGATTCGAGGCATAGTCTAAAATCTCTCAGGGGCGCCAGCCCAGCCGATCCCGTAGACGCCACTATCTAAAAAGATGGAAGCGCGAAATTGAAATATATGCCTTATTGATTTCGCTTCCTTCTCTGGCCTTAAGACTTATAAATTCACCCATGGGTGGAACTCAATTCAATTTTGACGATAAATTTTATGAATAGACAGGATAACTTGCCCATCTATTATTTTATGCGAAAAATTGCATAACATTTGGGAACTTAATAGAAGAAGCAATATTGACCCCAACATTGTTAATTAGCTATATGTATGACTATTTTGTAAGTTGGCAGCATAGCAAGGAAATTTTAGATAGTTTCCTACCTTCACTTAGCCAGCATGAAAATACTATTAAGTTCACATCAGAATTAGAGAATATTAGGACTTTACTCGATTTAGATTTTCTAGTTATTAAGAAAGTCGTAAGTTGGGCAAAACTATTTATAGGAAATCGGCAATTGCTGGTTGTAGCCAGAGTTTCCTTTCTAACTATAGTTACAACACTAAAATTGGAATTTTAAACTAGGAAATTAAGTCACACTAGGTCGCTTAAGGTGATACAGGAGTGACCCACAAGATGCTGTTGGATTTGACTTAACATTGCTTCCCAAAAGGTTTTATCCTATAGGGCCTGAATCCTATCAGCAATAATAACAGGAATCGAACTCGGGCAGTGCAGCGCATAATTTCAACATTTTGCTACTACGCCACAGTTCCATGATTGTCCGTCGGT